TAAAAAGAAAAAGAAGAAGAAAAGAAGAAGAGAGAAGAGAGAAAGATCCATCTAAATGACGAAGTCCTACCCTCTTTTAGTTAATTTTAAATAATTATAAGTATTTATTTTAATAATTAATTAAATTATATTGCGGTTTGCAGTATACCACATTATTTGGATATGCGGAATCGCAATCGCAACTGCATATTGCAGTTGGTTCTATAAATCGCATGTGGCAGTCGGTTTTCGTGATAGGTCGGTTTAGATGTGGTAAAATCTTGGTTGGTATTTGCGGTTTTTCGATTCTTTGGTCTAAAATGCCAGCCCTACATTTATATATGTAAATGTATTTTTAATAAATTATGCATTTTATCACTTACTAATTACTCTGAAACGCCCTTAAAAAAAATGAAAATCACAACTTCACAACCGGACCTCTATGTTAACACCAAAATCCATCAAAAGCCCGCACGCTTGGGTCTCTCTCTCTCTCCTAAACAAAACAAGACACAAAGCCCTCTTTCTCTCTCCTCTGTGTTTCCCAAAAGCCTCCGAAGACTGACAGAAATTACCAAGACATGTAAGTTTATCGTCTCCCTCTTCTCTTTCGATTTCTTTTGCCAAATGTAACATATTTCTCAGTTTATATATTGCATGAAGCATTCTGGGTAGCGATTGATTGATTGATCATAAAGTTTGTTAGGATGATATCTCTAGAGGGTTTTGAACCCGTCGCTGTTTCTCCACACAAACAAGACCCAGCATGGAAACACTGCCAACTTTTCATCAAAGACCAGCCCAATGGAGTTAAGGCTGAGCTTAAGAAGTGTATATATTGCGGCAAAGTGTTTCAGGGTGGTGGAATTAACAGGCTTAAATCCCACCTTGCTGGTCGAAAGGGCAATGGCCCTACTTGTGACCAAACCCCACCAGATGTTCGTCTTTCCATGTTGCAGAGTTTAGATCATGGGATTGCAGCGTTTAGGCACAGGAAGAGTCAAATTGTTGCAAACCCACATCACAGTCCTAGTGAATTAGACAATTCATTTGCTGAAAATGGGGAGTGCAAATTGATGGTAGGACCCGATTCGAATTCGCTTGTGAATCAAGAAGAAGATGTTGGAATAAGTGGTAATGGAGTTGGGTTGGGTGGTAATCTGACTAATGTACCCCTTGAAGTAGACAATTCTTATAGGAGTAATGCTGCAATGCATAGATCAGCTGGAGTGCCCAAATTGAATTTTTCAGTGAATCAAGAAGAAGATGCTGGAATGAGTGTGGATAGAAGAGTGAGGTGGAGGGGTGGAACTTCTTCTGCAGATACTGGTTCTGGTTCTGTTGATGGCGTTACGAAATTGAGTAATGTTTCAGCTCCTATCCCTATTGCAGTAGGTAGTGCTTTTTCTGAAGACACCCAAGGGAGATCAACTGGTTTTCCCAACTCATATTGGTTGGAAAATGAAGAAGAGGTTGGCTTAAGTAATACAAATGTGAGTGCAAGGAAGAGGGTGAGAGGTGAAAGTGCTGTGGAGGCTGCCAATGCTGGAACTGTCGACAATAATTATGAAGTGAAAGAGGTCGGCAATCAACAAATTCATATGGCAATTGGGCGGTTTTTATATGAAATTCAGGCTCCCCTGGATGTGGTGAAGAACTCGGTTTATTTCCAGCCAATGATTGATGCTATTGCCTCTGGGGGAAAGCGGACTATAGCACCTTCATATGATGACCTTCGGGGTTGGATATTGAAGAATGCAGTTGGAGAGGTGAAGAGTGATATTCATCAACACATGGAAACTTGGGCAAGGACTGGTTGTTCCCTTCTAGTCAACCAATGGAGTTCTGAAAAGGGTAAAACTTTGCTAAATTTTGCAGTGCAATGCCCTGAAGGAACAATCTATCTGAAATCTGTGGATGCTTCCTACTTTATTTTTTCCCCAGATGCTTTATTCGAGTTTCTTAAGGAAGTGGTGGAAGAAGTTGGAGTTGTGCATGTTTTGCAAGTCATTACAAATACCGAAGAGCAATTTGCTGTTGCTGGGAAGAGGTTGATGGATACATTCCCTACCCTGTACTGGTCTCCCTGTGCCGCCACTTCCATAGATTTGATCCTTGAGGATTTTGGAAAAGTTGAGTGGATAAATTCTGTAATTGAACAGGCTAGATCTGTTACAAGATTTATCTACAAACATGTTGTCATTTTGAATATGATGAGAAGGTATACATTTGGGAATGACATTGTGAGGCTGGGTGTAACTAGGTTTGCTACAAACTTTACTACATTGAAGCAAATGGCTGACCTTAAATTTAATTTGCAGTCTATGGTTACTTCAAAAGAATGGATGAGCTGCCCCTACTCCAAAACACCAGAAGGATCAGCAGTGCTAGATATATTAAGCAATCACTCATTTTGGTCTTCATGCATTTTGGTCACACATTTAACAAACCCACTTTTGCGAGTTTTGAGAATTGTTGGTAGCCAGAAGAGGGCAGCAATGGGATATGTTTTTGCAGGAATATATCGAGCAAAAGAAACAATCAAAAGAGAACTTGTCAAGAGAGAAGAATACATGGTCTACTGGGATATTATCGATTACAGGTGGAAAAAGTTATGGCATCTTCCTCTTCATGCAGCAGGTTTTTACCTTAATCCCAAGTTTTTCTATAGTGTCAAAGGAGACTTGCATAATGAGATCATATCAAGGATGTTTGACTGCATAGAGAGATTGGTTCCTGATATAAAAGTCCAAGATGAAGTTATCAAAGAGATAAATTTGTACAAAAATGCTGTTGGAGATTTGGGGAGGAATTTGGCAGTTCGAGCTAGAGACAATCTACTTCCTGGTGAGGATCTTTCATTAGGGTGCATTGTTATTTTGGGTGACAGGATTTCTTTATTTAGTTGGCTAAACATACAGACGAAAGGTGATCAAACCATATTTTAACTTCTTCTTTAAAAATAAAATAAAATAAAATAATAGAATGATAAATGTGATAAAATGCTAAAAAAAAGTGCCCAGACTATTGCCTGTGTCAGTCATTCTGGTGTTAAATTAGATTTTGGTATAAGCCCCCTTTTTTGAAGTTGTGCTGCATAGAGTTTGGATCTTATGGCATCTTTCGGCTGATTTCTTTAAACGTTCTGTTTGTCTAAGCTGAATGGTGGTCGACATATGGTAGTAGTTGCCCAAACCTTGCACGCTTGGCAATTCGTATTCTCAGTCAAACTTGCAGCATGGTTCAAGGTCAGGAGAATCAAATTCCTTTTGAACAGTTGCACAAGACAAGGAACAGCTTAGAATGTCAACGGCTTAGTGATCTTGTTTTTGTTCAATACAATCTGAAACTAAAACAAAAGTAAGTAGAAACAATAGGTTCTGTATATTGGTATTTTCCAAATGTTCTTCGGTAAAAGAAAATAGCTCTTTCGCTAATTGCTTTCTTCTAGGGTTCACAAGCACAAAGAACAGGAAGATGTGGGTCCTATATCATTTGACCGCAATAGCATTGTTGAAGACTGGGTGACAGAGACGGAAATGCCCCTAGAAGACAATGAAAATCCTGATTGGATGTCACTTGATCCCCCCTCTGGTAACACAAGGCTTTTAGAACTTTCAGTTGATGAAGCTGAAGGTTTGGGTTCAGGTAACTAAGTTTGTATGGATTATGAATTATGAATATTAATTTATTTTTTTCGTCTTGAGTTGAACTAGAATGTCGGTTGATGTACAGGGTTTGATGACGACGAGATCTTTATCGAATTGAAAGTGGTTAAAGGGGAATGTTGAACACGATGTTGTAAGCCAGTATGACGGAATGCAATGACACAAATCATTTTTTGAGTCCACTATAGTCCCTCCTTCACTTTCTTCAAGTACCTAGACGAGCAAGGTACTGTAACAAAGTAGTATGTCCAGAAATACTGCTTGGTTCCGAAAGATAATATTCTTTTCATGGCATTACTGCAGAGGTGGTGGAACCCCAAGATGCTATTGCTAATGCTAAGAAAAAAAAAGTACATCATGGCTCAGCCTCCACAGATGTGGATTGGTTCAGCAAGTTCCTGCAGCAGACAATTACATGTAGATAGCTTTCATGGTAGAAAAATAGGGTTTTGCAACTAACAACCTAGAATGCTGTACTTTCAGATATGCCCATGTAAATGTAATCATATTTATAATTTGCACGTGATTCACAAAATGAAAAGTGCCAAAGCTGCGTATAACATTTTGTTATACCTTCAAATTTTCTCTGAATTAATTCAATATCAACGTGCTTATAAATGAAACTAACCATCAGTTCATGATGATTTGTGAAATTTTAGTTTTGAGACGGATTATTACTTGCAGCAATAAAATTAGTTTTGTGTTGTTTGAAAACACAGTTAGGCATTTAGATAGAAAACGTTTACTTGTCAGGTGACTATTGTCTTTAGATTTGGATAACATAGAGAAATATAATATTTTCAAAATGTTGAGAAGGGTGACCCTTGTGGGCCTTAATTGGCTCCGCCAAGTGATAACAATTATTACTGGAAGGAAACGCCAACAATAGCTCTCACTATGGAGAGTTCTCCCTCTCCTCCTCTGTAAGAGTTACTGTTGGCGTTTTCTTCCAGATAAAATTATTTCAAGTCAAGGCAATTCACATAACGTTTACTTGTCATTTTATATTTACCTTTACTTGAGCTTATTTTTACTTTCTTTTTCTCTTTGGCCCCGGAATTTTTTTTCTTTTTGTTTCATCAGGAGAAATATGTTTTTGTAGAGGCTCCTCGACCCCAACTCACAACACAGCTTTGCACACACCGATTTTTGGATGGGGGATGTGCCAAATATCGGCCTTACAGCCTATCAATAAACTCATAAAGAGAACAAGCTGTAAACATACAAGTTTTCAGACACGCATGTAGCAGCTGTAAATATTTGTGAAAGCATCTGCAACCCAATCCAAAAACTAAATACAAACTTGAATAATACATGATTCAACTATGTTTTGCTTTGCAAACAGGCAAGGGGATAGGCATTAAAATAAATTCCTTGACCAACAACCTCAAAAACTAAGCTTGAAAGCACAAAAACCAAGCCTTCAATCTTCTGTGCATAATTTATACCAACCGAAACAATTAAAGAAAAATAATATCACCAACACCTGAGGGGCGAAACCAAAAACCACAGTAGCAAATCTAGTATCGTTTACCGAGAATGATGCCAATGATGGCAGATACCACAGCCACTCCCACAATGAACTTAATGCTCATCAGAGGGGAAGCCTCAGCAGTATGAGTATGGATCTCTGAAGATGATGAAGTTTGAGCAAGTGCTGCCTCTGACTTTTTCTTACTCTTCCTCTTTGATGGAGTTGAAATGGTTGATCCAATGTCCCTAGATTTCACTTCCAATCCGGCTACATTGGCATCACCCTGCAACATGATTTAAACATATCTTTTAAACAATTGTTTGCTGGAATAATTAGCTTCATGATTCTAGTAAGTTGAAATCCTTTTAGTATGGTTTGACGTCTTCATTTCCCACAAGTTTTTTAGGACAGTTAAGTCCTAAAAATTTGACAGCTACTTTCGAACAAGCGTACAGCATGCATAATTTGTGTGTTATGTGTTTGCATTTTGTACCGTAGTAGTATATATAAAGTGAGTTGGGAAAATGGTATAGACAAACCCTTTCTGTTAATTTGGCATCGGCTAGCTGCAATTTTTGCTCAAGGTCTTTGACTTGCTTCTCTAGAAGAGTGATTTCTTTATTCTTAGCTTCAAGTTCTTCAAGAGAATGCTTCAATGATGCCTCTCGTTCCAGGTCCTTTTGAGAATCTGCTTCTTTCTGTTGAGTAGGGAATTAAAACATGGATCATTTACAAAACGTTAATATTAAAAGTCTGCAATTTAGAAATGCATAATGCTACTATTGATATGAACAGTCCACAGTTCTTAACTTTGAACATATTCACCGTCATACAGTTGAAGTAAAAGAAATCTTAAATAATACTGGTGCCTTGCCTTTTCAGCAACAGTGGCCTGAGCAATATGTATCTCGCTCTGAAGTTTTTCAACTTGTTCATTTAATAAATCTCTGTCATGGACTTTATGTGCGTGATCCTCCAATTTTGAAGTCAACTCTGCCTCTCTTTCAGCAGCAGCTGACTTAACGCTTTCAACCTACAGTTCATTGTCTGAGTCAGAAAAAATCCTTAAAAGATGAATGCACCCCTTTCCTCCACCACCCCCACCCGCCATGCAGAAAAAGAAAAATTAAAGATTGCAGAATAAGAGCTTATTCTCTAGATTTCCTTTTTATTAAAACTGATAATGTTCTACCTCTTGTTTTAGTTGAGCTTCAGTTTTCACCAATTGCTCTTCAAGCTCCTTGAGAGACTTCTCTAACAAAGATTTCTCAGCAACCTCAGCCTTGAGATTTTCAACCTCAGATTTTAAGGCATCTTCTCCTGCTTCGTGCTCCTTGAGTTGTTCTTCGAGCTGGGATATCACTTGCTGGAGTTCCTTCTTAATATTTTGATTCAATTCATTAAGCAGGCTGTTCTCATCCATAACTGAAGATATCTGTAGCAAAAATACGTAGTTATAGAGCATATATGGGAACAGGAAAGCATCATATAATATCAGCATAATAATCACAAAAAGTTTGGTTCACACCTGAGATTGTAGTTTCTGCCCTTCCGAAGAAAGCTGCTCCGTTAAATCTTCTATAGTCTTTTTTGAAGCCTGAAGTTGTTCAACTGTCTCTTCCTTCTCAGCAAGGGCAGTAGAATTTTTTGCTTCTGCATCACTCAGTTTGGACTCATATATGGACACTTCCTCTGTAAGTTTTATGTTTGCCTCAGCCAGTTTTCTGCTCTCTTCTTCAAAGTGAGCTAACTTGGTTTGCAGTTCCTCAACAATACTCTCCAGATGCTTCAGCTTCAAGAGAGTCTCTTCCAGCTCTGCTTTTCTGGTTTCAGAAACTGAAGATGTTTCTTGAGCCTGGTCTTCATACAATTTTATTTGGCCTTCTAGAGCATCTAGCTTCTCAAGCAAGTCTTTAGCTTCCAAATCTCTTTGACTGAATCTCTGAATTGCTTCTTGCAACTTGGTTTCGGCTTCCACAACGCGGGATTCAGCAGACAAATGAAGGTCACAGGCCCTTGAGTGCTGATCTGTTAATTCTTCAACTGTGCTCTTATGGGAAACAAGCTCTTTTGTAGTGGCTTCTTTTTCAGATAGAGCAGAGTTCAAAAATTCCTGTAGTTCATCAATCTTGCTTTTCAGCTGAACATTTGTGTCAACTAACAGTTCGTTTTCTGAGAGGGACTGAGAAGCTCTGTTTTCTGCTTCCAAGATCTGTTTACTGAGTTCTTCATTAGTACTTTCCGAAGAAGCCAATTTGGTCAAGCTGTTATCCAGTTCTTCTTTCAATGATGCATATTTTTCTGCTGCTTCGGCAACCTGCTCTTCATAAACCTTCACCTGATCTTCAAGAATCTTCAGTTTCTCAAGCAGAGAATTTGCCTCGGCATCCCTGTTAGTGAAGCTTCCTATTGCTTCCTGGAGTTTGATCTCTGAATCCCTTACTAGGGATTCATGTAGCGCTTCAAGTTCTGAGTTTCTGGATGTTGTTTGCTCTATTACTTTGCCTTGCTGCTCCAGTTGCTCCTCGGCAGACTTGAGTTTCACTACGACCTCGCCTTCTCTGATTCCAGCCTCCTTGAGATCATTTTCAATGTTTTCCAATTTCCCTTGAGTTAGATTCAATTCACTCCTCAAGACTTCCAACAGATTTTCTGCTTCAGAAAGCTTCTCACTGGAATTGTTTGATGCATCCTCTAACCTTTTCTTCTCTTCTGTAGCAACATTCAAGGATTCTGTTAACTCCCTTTCCTTTTCATTGGCCGCTTGCAGTGCAACTTCAAGGCTAGATGTTCTTGCTTGGAATGCCTCAAGTTCAGAAGAAAGTTCAGATATCTTGTTGGAGTAATTCTTTGAATCTGCTTCTGCATCCAGACATTTCTTTTCCAATGCACTTATTTGTTCCTCAAGTTCTTGGATTCCGAACTTCTCTGTTTCAAGTAACAACTCCAGCTCACTCACCTTTTTACCAGTGTCCTCCACTTTGGTATGAGATTGTTGGAATAAATCTTCAAGTTCCAAGCTTCGCTGATGGTGTGTACTGGCCCGGCCCTCATGTTCAGCACATTTCTCTGTGGCAATCTTCAATTCCTCCTGAAGCTCTGAATTCTGCAAAGATGACTGGTCTAAGGAAGATTGCAGCTGGCTTATCTTCTCCTGGTACTCTTGCACCTGACCATTCAACTGTTTCTTTTCTTCCTCAACCTCAGCCAATGTAGTACTGAGTGCAGATAATTTTTCGGAGAGTTCTTCCAGATCACCTTCAGCAATTCCTCTGTTCAGCTCTACCACATTTACCTGTTGCTCAAGCTCTGCATTCTTTTGTTCTGCTGCTATAAAGCGAGTCTCAAGCTCTCTCAGTTGCAATTTTGCCTCTTCTGCTGCTGCATTTGAAGATTGAATAATACCCTCAAGCTCAAGATTCTTTTGAGTGGCAGTTGCAAAAGAAGCTCCTGCTTCATTATGGAGCTCTTCCAGTGACTTCAACTTCTGTTCAAGCTCTGCATTGTTTGACAAAGCTTGGGACAAAAGAGCATCTGTTTTGCCAAAATTCTCTTCTGAAAGCTTCAATTTTTCTTCAAGATCACTGCACAAATCCTTCGTCAGCTGTACATTACCAGTGAGATCTGCCACAGCTGCTTCCAGAGCTTCTTTTTCTTTGGTTACTATTGCCAATTTCTCCTGTAAAACTAAGGACTCTTCCTCGTGAGTTTTTTGTGCAGCTTCAACCAATTCCTTGGCGCTCAATTCCTCCTGCAGCTTCAACTTGATTTCTTCCAATTCAGAAACCTTGGCATCAAGATCTTCTTTAGTCGACACAAACAGATTTTCGAGAGCGGAAATATCTTCCTTGACTTGAGATTCTGAGGCCTTTTTCAGGCCCAATTCTTCAGTCAGTTCATTTATAAGAGCTTCCTTGGCAGAGAGGTTCTGCTCCAAATCCACACCTTGGGACTTTGATAGAGCAAGCTCTTCTTGGACAGCAGAAAGCTCAGCAGCAGTAGAGTTGAGTGCTTCTTTGACTTTTTCATCCTCAGCAATCTTTTCATACAAGCCCTTGAGTTCTTCTTGTATGCAAGTCATCTGATCTTCCATCTCTTTTGCACTCAATTTTGCCACTTCAAGCAGTTTCTCAAACTCCAAGGCCTTCTTTGTCTCGGTTTCAGCATGCGAACCACTTTGCTTGTGCAGCTCCTCAAACCTTTGTGCCTCACCGGCAGAACTCTGAAGCTCTTGCTCCAGTTCCTGCAACCTCTTTCTTGAGCTTTCAAGCTCAAGGCTGAGACCATCAAATGCTTCCTTCACCCCGACCAGATCCTTGTGCTTTTCTTCCTGAGCTTGCAACGTCTCTTGCAAAACATTGAGCTGTGAACTGTATTTCTCCTCAGCTTCATCAATTTGCTCTTGCAATTTCTTATGACTGAGTTCAAGCTCTTCATACTTCTTTCCACTTTCTTCCAGCTTCTCTTTTGTAAGCAAGACCTCATTCTTCAGCTCAGAATTCTCTGATTCCGAATGTTTCAACACACCAGCCAACCTTTCAATTTCAAGCTCAAGGTCACTCACCTTCTCCCGGGCTTCCAGCAATTCTCTGCTTGAATTGCTTGAGCTTCTCTCAATAACCGATGGCTTGTCCTCCACCAATGCTGGTTCAGCAGCATGATGAGAACCATCCTTCACATCTAGTGATTCCCTCTCAACTTTTATGAACTCTCCATCAAAAGTTGCTTCCTCTTCTTCTTTCTTTCCTTCATGTTCTACTGGTAGCAAGTCCCCATTCGATTCCTGCATTACAACCACCGTAATCAACCTTCAACATCTATTTAAAAAAGTTTACAAATTCAAATGATCCCATGAAGGACTTAACGTGAATGATTGCAGATTAATCAATGTCTGAAAATATAAGCAAATAGAAGGGTTTAAATTACAGAACAAAATATTGCAGCTACCTTGATTGCTTCGGCATTTGTTGTTTTGGCATCCTCAAAAGTCTTCACTGGGATTTCTGAACTCACTTGTGTTTCTTCCATATTGCACCTAATTTTGACCTACTCCACTTACGTCTCTGTGATTTACAAAAAACTTCATCATCCACTTTATTATGTTATCAACTTATTACAATAATGCAGACTTCTCAAAAAAGGAAAGAAAAAAAGAAAGAATCATCTTAATAACTAGACTTCCTTTTTCTTGGAAAATTGTTTTACGTCAAGCCTTTGCAACAACAAAATGTGAAAAGAAAAATAGACACATGAGATGAGATGACAAAGACATTTCTTAAAAAGGAAGTTAAGCTTCGAGGGTAATTCTGTAATTCCATTCCGGATTAGCTGTGGGTATAAGCAAGCAAATTGTGTGCCGGACAAAGACAACCCACCCGACGTGGCACCCAAAGTGGGTACCCACCATAAATCATTGTGGTGGCCCATCGGTATCATGGCCCAGATTTTTATTCTTTCATTTATGTTAATGCAATTATTTCTAGATTTCTACTGGCCAAGAAAAAATAAATTATTAGATAATAAAAACATTTGTTTGTTTTTTTCAAATCAATTGGAGATTAGATTATTAAAATCACAGAGAAAAATCTTAATTTAATTGTAAATTAGGGTTGATCACATTCTTTGAAGAATTAGAATTTTATGGATTCAAAATCACCTGCTGACTGCCTGCCATATTTGTCACTTAACTAGTGATGATGATCAATCATGTGATGATTTCATGTGGAACCATACAGTCTGTAGGCCCCAAAATTCCTCATTCAAGCTAAGTTGTTACACACAAAGACAAGGGCTTTCAACCCCATCTTCTAAGAATTTCATTTTTAATACAGAGGTTGCATCATTTTCATGGCTTAAAAATTGGGAAAAAAAATAAGAGAAAAAAAAAAAAGCTACATCTTTGAATCTATAGTGACATCTGGACCATTGGTTGCTAATACACAAAAAGCGAAGCGTAGTGGGTGGAGCCTACAACTAAGATGGGCAGTCCATCCTTCAATTTTTATTTGATTGTACAAATCACAAGACCCCATCTTTCTTAAGTTCCTTTCTAAGTTTTTTATTTTTATTTTAATACAAGCGATAGTCTAAGTTACCAGGGGAGGGGAATGAGGTTTTTCACCCAAACACACTACGAAAGTTGTCATAGGGGTTCGAACTCGAGACCACTGGTATGCAAATCAAAGCCCTTTTTCTACTGGGCTAGACTCCATTGACAGTTCATTTCTAAGTTTATGATAAAAAAGAAAGAAAAAAAAGAGGAAAATTATAAAATAAAAAGATTCTTTCAAAGTTAAAGGTGCTTGGACAGGTAGCTTTGCCATCATTTTCTTTCTTAAGTTTCTTTTCCCTATTTTAGATTTTTGACAGAGCCTTCATCGCCATCTTTGGCTCCATAATTAGACACAAAGACAAACATAAAAGGGGCACATCAATTATCATTCAATTGACAAATGCAGAAAAATAAGGCCACTAATTAAGGTTAATCATTAAGATCAACTTTGATATAAACAATATGCATAGCATCTTATTTTTGCAGTTACTAATTCATTAACATTTCATATATTTAAACAAACAAAAAAAAAAACTTTTACTAAAATAAAAAATAAATAAAAAATGAATTAAGTGCTGGAATCCAAGTAAACAAAACCTCAAATATATTAAATTACCAATAAATTCGTGCTTTATTAATCTTAAATTGCGATCTAAACAGCTTTTGACGAATAAAATCTCTTCCACCTAACACGCCCGAGCAAATAAACAAATACATAAATAAATAAAACGGAAATATTTTATCTAGAGATTGAATTCTGGTTCTACAAAGATCTCAAAACCATATAGACTGGTCAAACCAAAAGAATAACCCAACTGGGTTTGTTGGCTCTGACTCTCTAGTTCAAGATTTGCATCACAGATGAACTTCCTTCAGCTTTCATTTCACTGATCATCAATGATCATCAAGTGAAAACAGAAAGAAGATGAAACACAGAAAAAAAATTATCAAAGACCAAAAGATCAGCAAATGGAATGAAGGTGAAAAAATTGTGATCAAAGTGATGGGATGGGATTGTTTCAAAGCCTTCAAAAACAGTAAATTAGAACAAATGAAGACGAAGTAGAAAATGACCAAAGATCAGCAAACCAGCAAGTGGAAGGTGAAAGAATTATGATCATTGAAATGGGTTTTGTCCAGAGAGTTCAAACTCAAACTTTGATATCAGAAACACATGAATTTCTCATATGAATTGGTCATCCAAAATCACAAATTCTCAATTTTCAACCACATTTAAATAAAACCCAGATGGCAGATAACATTATCACAGAAAGATCACAGCTTGATGCTTGATCACATAACCATGTATAAAAAAAAAGAGAAAAAGCAGAAACAGAACAGTGGGTCATTCAGTAAAGCATGAAACACAGAGGAACAGAAAACAGTTCAAATTCAAAGAATGAAAACCAAGTTAGAAAAACAGAGCATGCATACATACAAATAGAAAAGACAGAGCATAAGTAAAGATCGATCGCTTGCCTGATAAAAGCTGATTGGTTTTTCCCTCAGATTTCTGTGAAGCGTTTTTATTGTTTTTTCGAAACACGAAAACGAAAAATGGTAGTGATTAGGAGCTGAGCTGGTGACGAAAAGGCAGAGGAGGAGCTATAGCCTATAGAGAGAAAGAGTGAGAGAGAGAGAGAGAGAGAGAGAGAGATTCCAAGTATATAAATATGAATGAGGAGGCAGTGGGGTCCACCGTAGTGCCAAGGTAGGGCCGCCTATTGGGCAATCAGACAGTAGCAACTTTGCTGTATTCGCAACTCTTGCCTTCCGATTTCATTTTAATTACAATGCCAACCAAAGACACAATATTATGGTGAAAAAAATCTATATGGATTTTCATTTTATTTTCTTCTTGTTTTTGTTGGCATATTTTGGATTTTTAAGAGAATTAAATATATATTTTGGATTTTCAAATCTGCTGGAATTTTTTTTCTTCATCTATTTCAAATCTCTAGATTTGAAACCTATTGATTTGAAAATCCATTGTTTGTCGATACAGAATATTAGGCTTAGGAATTTGAAATTGAGATTTAAATAGAGAAATATATTGTGTGATAATTTCAATACAATAGGGTCTTATGTATATTAGGCTTCTAGATTTCAGTTAGAGCAGGGTAATTTATATATCTAGTACATTAGTAGGAATCGACCCAACTTTCTATATCTTTCATCATCTCATTTCGTCATATCGATTAGTCTCGATTTTTGATTTTTTTGTTTCTATCTTATGCATATTAGGCTCCTAGATGGAGTTTGGTACATTATTTAGTGCATAAGTAAATATTATTAACTACTTTGAATTACAAACTCTTTACTCGAGACTTATCAACTCCATTTTCAACTGATGCATTTGCATTGTAAATGCGTAACATGAAATTGCTACAATAATTTCTCACTGTCTCTCCTTTTTCTTTTGATCAAGTGAATTTTTGAATCCCAAGAATGCTAGTTGTGAGAGAGTTTGGTACATTATTTAGTGCATAAGTAAATATTATTAACTACTTTGAATTACAAACTCTTTACTCGAGACTTATCAACTACATTTTCAACTGATGCATTTGCATTGTAAATGCGTAACATGAAATTGCTACAACAATTTCTCACTGTCTCTCCTTTTTCTTTTGATCAAGTGAATTTTTGAATCCCAAGAATGCTAGTTGTGAGAAATAAGACATAAATGAGGTTTAATTGGTCATTGCTATGCAGGAAAAAAAAATGGTGGCTTTTTGGTCTGAGAGTGGCGGCCATAGGCGACCGACCAAACCGCCCATCTAGGCGTGCCAACATGACAACTCTTTCTTTAGTCGATTAGGACATTTTGCTCTCTCTCCTCCCCTTTGGCATCAATTTTTATTAGCTTTAATAAATCAAATTGCCAATTTGGCTTATAGGTTTGCGTCTGTTCAGCCATCTTTTCCACTTTCTTCAACGGGTCCTATACAAATTTTGGGTGCTTGGTCTACCATAGATGTTTCTCTTTTTAGACCCCTTCAATGAATCCAAATTATGATATGAATCTGAAACTTACAGTTTGATAACATAAAACATTTTTATTTATTTTCGTCTAATATAAAGAGAAATTCTTATACTCGAGAGTTCGGACTACATAGTTGTACGATCGTCTTTATAAAAAACGGACTCTTTCATTTTGATCCAACCTAGTCTTACATGCGATCCCATCTATGAACTTATGAGGTTGAAGGTATAGCTAGTGGAATCGTGTGATTTGGATTTCTTGCCTAGTTGTTTGGTTTGACAGACGTTATTTTTATATGGAAAATGTTTGGTTTAGGTCCCTGTAGAATATACTAATATAGTCCATCAGAAACAAACAAAGATGTGCACAAAATAAGTACTCTGAAAATGACAAATGAATCTTAAAGCTTTAACCTTTCGGTTTCAACTTTCTAAGACAATAGCATGTTAGCTTTGGAAGAATTATATGAAATGGGTTTATTATGCATATGAAAACTATTTGCAATATGATTTTCTGATTACATTTTGGAAGAATCAATCAAGAGCAATAAAACATTACCATGTGCTAGGATTCTAAGGAACGATCTTCTTCTGATCTAAACTCCACCTACTTCAAAGTAAATGATTGTTTTAAAGAAGGCTTAAATGTAGAAATGATCCTTATGTTTTACCCTCCGTGTTTTTAATTTGGCTGATTTAGTTCTTGCGTTTTATTCCGTTAGCCAATTTTGTCCAATCGGTTACATTATCGTCAAAACAATTCATTAAAGTTTTAAAAATTAATAAATAAAATTTTTAATTGTTCTAAAAATTTAAGTTCAGTTTACAATAGCGAATTAATAAAAATAACTCTTCTTCTCTCAGCAACAGCCACTGCCCAAACTACCAGGAGCAATCCAATCCACTACCCGATTCTCTCTCTCTCTCTCTCTCATCAATCCCTCCTTCCCACTGTACATCTTCCATTTCCCACCTCATAGCTGGGCCTGGGTTGTTTTTCGGATTTTTATTTATTTATTTATACATTTTCGATTTAATCAGTCAACTGTTTTGTTGTTCAAAATGTTTTCCATTTTTAAATTGAGATTTTCTGGTTTTTTTAATTATAAATAATTAAAGAGTTTTTATTAGTTTGAATAATATTTATGAATTTTTTAATAGTAATTTAACGGAACCAACAAGATTGACCAAGTGAGTAAAACACAAAAACTAAATCGACCAAATTGAAAACACGAGACTGAATTGATAAGTGAGTAAAACACCATTTTGACATTTAAGCATTTAAAGAAAGTTGGCCAGTAATAATAATGAAAACTTTTAGGCAAAATTAGGTTAGAAAAATATAGGATCGTATTTTGAATTTATATAAAGCATTTGAACTTTTGGAAAATATTTGGAATGGGAAAACATGTGGGCGGAAAACAGAGACTAGAATTTATGGAGTAGAAAGTTTAAATCATAGCCGGCCAAGCACCACCTTTGACTAGTTGTTTTGGACTTCTAAGTTGGACTGGAACCAGGTAAACCAACTACTCAAATACTTAATTTGGCCGATTAATAAGAAGAAAGACGGCAGTCCTAATTGGTCATTGATCAGAAACAAACATGCATATAATGAATGTTTGACTAATTGAATATTAATTTCTGCATTTTATCAAAGTTTAGCTGTTGTTAATTTGAAAATTTTTTAATGAACACATCCTCCAATTTCATTGATTTCTTTCTCAGTTCTCCACATTCACATTCAAATAAAAGTGACATCCTGCCCTGTTGACTTTAATTTTGATATTTAGTCATATACTCATTCTTAGTATTAAAGAGATATATAAACTCTACACCGTTTAATTTCTATAAACAAACAAAAAAAAAATCATAAAATGTTAGCTAGCCCTATTGAATTTAATCTTGGTTATTAAATTACTTTGATGCCCTATTGAATGTTTTGGATTTTTTTTATGAGGTTTTGGGGTTGAGCTTGTTTTAATAAATCGATGACAGTTTTGTAATTTATAAGAAGTTAGAAGCTTCTTTATCATGTAGTAAATGAGTTTTGAGTGTGTTTCTAAAGTCCATTTCATATAGGGTATTTTTATAATTTAGGCTCCTAAATTGGGTATAATAGTGAATCTCTTTATAATAAATGTTTGACTAATTTAATATTAATTTCTGAAATATATTGAATTTTAGCTGTTGTTAATTTGAAATTTTTTTAATGAACACATTCTCCAATTTCAAAGATTTATTTCTCAGATTTCTTCTTATTCTTCTTCCTCTTCAGAGATTCTCGTTCTCCACATTCACACTCAAATAAAAGTAAGACTATGGCAATGACGAAATTTGTTGCTGAAATGATTAAAATCATTTACTCTTTTATCTTAATTCTTAAGTTTGATTCCCCTTCCCCAATATCGCTTTATACCATGAATAAGGAATACCCACGTCATTGACCCAAAAAAAAAAAAAAAAAAAAAGAAAAAGGAATACCTACGTAATCAAAGCAAAGTAAAAATTGTTTCATTTTTACCACCTAAATCATGGCAGTGGATGGAGCCATTAGTGATCCCATCACCAATAGTTGACACGTCAGCCCTCCACACAAGATTTCCTGCACAGGTGTCCTCTTGGTCTGGGAAGCATAGAACTCAAAACTCACAGCACTCAGCCACATTCCAAATTACCATAAAACCACCCGTGATCACTGAGAAGTGAGGGCTGCAAGTACCAGGTTGAAGTAAAGTAACACACCCTGACAAAGAGAGACATGGCATTGACTAGGGTTTGGTCAACAAGAGCTGCTTTGTCTTTGAGGGTGTCTGTTCCCTGTAGAGGCTTTTCTTCTGGTAATTCTGAAAACCCTGGTCTCAAAATTCATGATTTATCTTTGCAAAGTCTAATAATTTTCAAATGAATTCTAAGATTTGTGTCCTGTGTCTGATGTAGCTGTGGAGGGTTTGAAGTTTGCAAAGTCCCATGAGTGGGCTAAGGTTGAAGATGAAGGGAAGTTGGCTAGTGTGGGAATAACAGAACATGCTCAGAAACATTTGGGTGATGTTATATATGTGGAGCTGCCTGATGTTGGTGTTGCTGTTGCACAAGGCACCATTGTTGGGAGTATTGAGAGTGTCAAGGCCTCCTCGGACATTAACTCTCCTGTCTCTGGCAACATAGTTGAAGTGAACAAAGAGCTTCTTAGCTCTCCAGGTTTGGTAAGAATTAATTAACATTATGCTAATTTCATTGATTGTAAGTGTAATTAATCTTGCTTTATTAATTTCTGTCTGGTAATTGGGATGGTTTAGGTCAATGGGAGCCCATATGAAAAGGGATGGATCATGAAGGTGGAGATGAGCAGTAGGGATGAGTTCAATAATCTGATGGATCCTGATGAGTACTCTGAGTATGTGAAGAAGAAGATCCCAAACATTACAGAACATAAAGACACTTAGGAAAGGGTTTTTCTTTCTTCTTCTTTTTGGGTACAAGGATGCTGTCTTTTTTTTTTCTTCCTCTTCTTATTGATCAGGGAAAACATTGGTTGGAACCTTTCTGCTTATCAAACCTGAAAATACTCTGAAGTTGCATCTTGATCATCAAATAGGATTACTTGTTTTACCTTCATTTTGCAGTTTTAAACAGATATTGCCAATTTTGACATTACAACCT